CTCCTCTTGGCTTATATTGAAATCCTCCGACATTCTTCTTTACAAATCCTCGTTTTGTACTTCTAATTAGTGACCGTTGTTTTGTTTTGATCTCTCCGCTGCGTTTCCGCGTTCGTCACTTCTGAGCGGCGCATGCGCAGCACTGACCTCATATGTCATTCTCCCGGAACTGCTTCCAGTGTACAACAGTGAACGCAAGCTGCATTAAACTGATTATTACGTTTTGAATATGGATATTTTTCTTACAAAAACGCATCGATTCGCTACAGAAGGTCTTTGCTCACCCCCCGGAGCCGTGTGAGATTTTTTTTTTATGGATGGGCACTTTTTATTTCACTTCTTTTGCACTGAAGCACTGCAACACCCGCTGAGTGTGAAACTGCCTAATTTTCATTTTTGGGTGAACTAACCCTTTAATAAAGGATACTTTGTATAGAAAAGTAGATGAGTCCAGAATATGAATGCAAAGACTTACTAACTTATTGACAGAACTCATGCTAAGTTAGCGGGGCTGGGTTCTAATCTGAACTCATATAGTTTTGTGTTCATCATTGATTGTATATCAAGAGCAGGAACATGTTTGTGTGCATTTTATTTTGTAATTTCACCCGAACGAATAGAGTCTCCACAACAGTTAGCAACAGATGGAAGCGCTCGTCTGTGTAACACAAACGAACGAAATTAATATTCGGTTCGTCAACTGTCAAAGTGCGAGATGTTTCAAAAACATTTGACATCATTAAACAGCTTGAAAGATCAAAGACAATTTTTAATATAACTCAGACTGAATTCGTCTGAAAGAAGAAAGTCATATACACCTGGGATGACTTGAGGGTGAGTAATTTTTGGGCTAATTTTAATTTTTGGGTGAACTAACCCTTTAATTCAGCATAATTTCACATTTTCATTTAGTTTTCATTTTAATGTGATGCACTGAAATAATTAAAACTAAAACTGAAATAAATAATAAAACAATAAAAACTAACGAAAATGACAAAAACAAAATTACTAAAAAAATGTACATTAACATGAAAGCAAAAAATATACAATTCTAAATATTAATAGGATCTCAGTGATACTAAAATAACACTGAATATCTCATATTTAAAAAAAAAATGTTGTCTGTAACACATGTGAACATATAACACATATTTCCAGTCTTTTCAAAATTATACCGGTTCCACGGTACATGACGGTATTTTTTTTTTCATGAATGACCGGGTGTTAACCATATTTTCTACTGATTGAGAGAGGAAATACTGCAGTATATTGACTTAGAATGCCAAGTCAGACCTCGCGTTCGCGGGACAGCACTGGCGAAATCTTCCAACTGAACCATAGCTAAGGTTTATCCAAAAAAGTCGCTAGGTTTGTCAGTATGAATATTCTATGGAAAAAAGCCACTAAAAGGGTCTGAAAGTTGCTAAATCTAGTACTAAAGTCGCGCTCGTGTGTGTGAGATGCGGGAGCTGATGGCAGGGGCGGTGAATATTTGTGGCGGTCAATGTGGATATTGTGGATGAGTTCTTCTGTGTCATCACGTTCTATTAGTTCTACAGCTTCAGTTTCGGAACTTTCACGCCAAACGCGAGTGAATCCGCCAAATTGATCCGCGATTGATGGCGATAACTCTAGCAATGGATGGAACAAACTATCTGACAAGCCGATGTCAAACCAGAGCTGTGCTTTAAGTGATGCAGAGTAAATTCAGAGCAACAAAACTACAGCAGCAACAACTAGGGAGCTGAAATGGCAACTGAGCTACTGGGTGATCCTCTGCTGCCATCTACTGGATATAATGGTAATTTCATGTCATTTTCATCTTAAGTCTTTGTTTTCCAGCAGGAGACAATTTTTTCCCCCTGTCTTCTTTATGAATGAAAGTGAACATTTAACGTGAATTTTGGCAGAGTTAGAAAATAATAATAAAGGCTTTAAATTATTATAAGTGTTTAAAAAATATAGGGTTTTATTTTTCACCCACGATGAGTTTGCATCCCTGGGAAAAACTGGCCATCATACACTAAAGTCTGGTAGTGTGTGATCCTCAGTCATTCAAAGTCGTTCAGATCACAACAAACTCATGCTGAAACATGCGCCTTGTTGCTAGGAGACGCATGACAAATGAAAACAACATGTGTTCTAAAATCGGCTCATCGCTGTGTGAACGTGTGTTTCATGGTGTGTTTCATTGGCAGCCATATCACCCTGCAGCCCAAGATTGGTCACCCACTGAAGCTAAGCAGGGTTGAGTCTGGTCAGTACCTGGATGGGAGAAAACTAGGCTGCTGCTGTTAGCCAGCAGGGGGCACTCACCCTGTGCTCTGGGTGGGTCCTAGCGTCCCAGTAGAGTGATGGGGATACTATGCTGTCAAAATGCACCGTCCTTCGGATGAGACGTTAAACCGAGGTCCTGACTCTCTGTGGTCATTAAAAATCCAAGGATGCCCTTTGAAAAAGAGTAGGGGTGTAACACTGGCATCCTGGCCAAATTCACCCACTGGCCTCTGTCCATCATCCTGGCCTCCTAACAATCCCCATACACTGATTGGCTTCATGACTCTGTGTCCTCTCCAGTAATAAGCTGGTGTGTGGTGGGCGTTCTGGCGCACTATGGCTGCCGTTGCATCATCCAGGTGATTCCCCTTCCATGTAACAGAAAAGCCCTATATACATGTAACGGATTATTATGATTCTGTGTTCAGAGGTTCTGCCGCTGGTGGAGTTCTATCTGGAGGACGATATCTCAGACGAGGAGGCCATGTCTCTCATTGACCTGGGAGTGCCTCGTGTGCAGACGAGCAGCAGCTGGCAGGAGATGAGCCGCGGCGGTAACGTCTCAGTCACATTCACACTACATTCCCATTCGTACGCAGAAGAGCCAGAGGAATGCTGGTGAATCGTGCCGTGCTGAGGTGCATGTCCAGACGAGATGTTCTGATCAAGCGCTGGCCCAGACCGCTCAGCTGGCAGTACTACCGCTCTCTGCTGCCAGACGTCAGCATCACCATGTGCCCTTCCTGCTTCCAGGTACACACACGCTCGATCACGCGCTCGGCCCTCTGTTCTGATGTTTGACTGTATTTTGTTGTGGTGTTTTCACAGATGTTTCACAGTGAGGACTACGAGCTGTTGATTCTTCAGCACAACTGCTGTCCATACTACCGCAGACCCATCGACGAGCCCAGCTAGCACAGCAGTATGTGTGGATTAGCCTCCAGACCATCACTTCACCTGTGTGTCAGTAGGACTGAGGTTTGATCATGATTGAGCGGCTAGAAACGCATCAGTAAATGCCAGCTCAGCACAGCGCTCTGATAGGATCAGCCGGATCAGCCGGCGAAGCTGATTACAGCATTTGTACATGTGAAGACATACATACTCCTTATCACACTCACACACACACACACACACACACACTTACACAGCTCTGTCCACTTCAACATGTTTGTTTGAATTCTGGCAATTTAAATAAAGAGCATTGATTGCTTCATGTAGAATGTGTGAGTGTTTTTTGCCTGTAAAGCTGGCTGCTGTAAAGCTCAGGTGTTGCATGAGAACATCAGCAAATCACAGCTGGTGAGATGCTAGAAACATCGACAAAAAACGTTGTAACTGATGTGAACCGTAAGCACCACAGAGTCTCCACATACAGTAATGACCATCACTCTCAATACCAGTTTCTCATTTTCATATTCCCATCATCCATCCAGCCATCCATCCTCCACACTGCTTGCCCTCTGTAAAGTGGCTCAGCCCAAGCGTCTGGACGAATGGCTAGTCCATCTCACACAGACATTCAGATTCAAATGGCTTTATTGGCATGACAAAAAAGGAATAAAAATAACATTGTAAACACATTGGTAACATTAAAATACAGACATACATTTACACACAAATAAGAATGAGAAGGAAAAGGCCCAAAAGCACACAGTGAAGTGTCATCTGCATGTTATTGTGTTGTTGGTCATTTCAGTTTCTCTAATTCACTGCACGTCTCTGCAGCACTCGGACAATGTGCCCATGATCAGTGTCTTCATTTATTATTTTTAAAACATGGAAATCATACTAGTTTTTACAATTAAGTGAACTATACGAGTATGTTTTGTATAATTTCACTACTTCTGAGTGCGTCTGAGGAAATATTTTTGCCATGTCCCCGTTAAATAATTAAGAAATTCTTGTTTGTAATGTGTTCTTTGGAATATTGTTTGATTACAGAATCACTTTATAGTTTTTATTTTCTGTCCTCAATGTCATTTTCCATCATGTTAGTCTTTAATAATGTCAATTTAAATTAGAAGAGCCAGTTTCCTCCATCATCAGTGGGAAACCAACAGCACAAACATGAGCAGGAATTAGCAGTGCAGTTTTAACAGCTTGTTCTCGCTCTGATTCATTCCTGTTTGACGGTTAATAAATGAACTCTCAGTCCCTCCCTGCTTATGTCCATGCAGCATTATTTCAGCGGTACTCATTGTTTTTGTCATTGTGTAAGTAATCATGTGTTATAAAGTTGAAGCGTGTGTGGCTGGGCTTCATCAGAGCAGCTTTCTGAGGTATAGTAGTGGATAAAGACCCATGAAACAACAAACACGCAGTTGGATTTCAAATGTTGGGAAACAAAACACGGACCCAATAAAACCCAATGACTGCGCTTATGGTTTTTGTTGGAGTTTGTGAATTGGCCCTTATAGAGAAATACTCATTTATTTAAAGTAATGGGGGCTGTTGCTGTTGTCTTACGGCCATTTAACCTTGTGGATTATCAGGCCTCTCTGACCCCAATCTGCCTGTAACTCCATTCCTCCAAATTGCAGCACCTCATTGTAATCTCTCATCTGCGTTTAATCTGGGCACATGGGGGGCATATAAGAGAGGCGCTCGCGTCCCGCGGAGCAGATCTCGCTCTCAGGGACTTCAGTCGCTTTCTGCTGAGAAGAAGGTTCACTCTCATGTGCCCGTCTGTCTACTTTCTCCATTGTGACCCTTGACCAGTGAACCAAACATGAATGGAACGGAAGGTCCGAACTTCTACGTGCCCATGTCCAACAGGACGGGTTTGGTGCGCAGCCCGTTTGAGGAGCCGCAGTACTACCTAGCAGAGCCGTGGAAGTACTCGCTCCTGGCGGCGTACATGCTCTTCCTCATCATCACTGCATTCCCCGTCAACTTCCTCACGCTCTACGTCACCGTGCAGCACAAGAAGCTGCGCACGCCGCTCAACTACATCCTGCTCAATCTGGCCGTGGCCGACCTGTTCATGGTGGTGGGAGGCTTCACCGTCACCCTCTACACCTCGCTGCACGGATACTTCGTCCTGGGGGTCACCGGCTGCAACATCGAAGGCTTCTTCGCCACGCTGGGTGGTGAGTGCTTCATCTCTGCAGACAAACACTCCTGAGATATTCATCAGATAGCAATCAGAAGCACAGTGTGGGTATTGTTGTGGTAATAAAGACTGGTGTCAAATTTGGGTGATGTCAGGATCACATTTCACTTATAAAAATGGAGCTATTTTGTCTTCATGAAATTTTGTTTCACATTTTTCATGCAGATCTTAATGTTTTATCTTTAAGTTGTTTTATTTATTTATTGTAATTCTCACTATTCTCATATCTATAATAGGTGTTTTAATGTATTACAGTCAAACGTACAGTAATACAGATTTTAAGTAAGATTTTTTAGTTAGATTCCTTAAAATGTTAAATATGTATATATAGTTGTTTTCTTTTAGAATTTACATTGTGATAATATTATCAAGACCACTGACCACATTTCACTCTCTAGTCTCATTACTATAATGCAAAAACTAATTATACATCTAGGTAGTAATTGCTGTACTGTCTTTAACATATGCTGATTTTAAAATCATTGTGACCGCCAGTATAAGAGGACGCCTGTAGTACATTTCATCAACTTCTTCGTCTGAATGAGACGTAAACAGCCAAGCCTTAGGGCATGGCAATGAGACGCAGTGTCTCGTTCCCCTCTCAGGGAACCATGATTACATGCGTAACCCGAGACGTTCCCTTTCAAGTGGAACTCGCACTGCTTCTGAGAAGACGCTATGGGGAACAAATGCCCACTATGCCATGCTGAGACAAATAAGGACTTAACGGTCTTAACAAGGAGGCTCACAGGGAGCCACTCACACTTGATGTCACTGTCTAGACTTGGCGAGAAAGGGAGCCACCTGCCTAATAGACCCCAACATCTGGAGGGAGGCAGCTCAACCTCGGAGAGTCGACTAGCCTGATAAAATACGAGGAGGGACACCATCTTAGTTGGTGACATCCTTAACTTGTGTATGACTAGGATTGTTCTTGCACCTACAGTTTCAAGCACTGCATCTAATTCCTCAGAATTAGGGCTCACATTTTAAACCATTAAAATGGGAGTAATAGATGGGGTCTGAAAGGAAAAGAAATCCCGCCAGACTGTCTGCCGCTACTTATATTTCTTTGATGACTGCGGGACCGAACTGCGGTGTGCATGTGAACAGTCACCAGTGTGAGTGCCTTCAACTCCCTCGATAGCCGAACACACTGTGCAAACACTAACTACTATCCCTCAGATGAGAACAAAGAAGTAACATTTTCTTACCCGTCTCTTTCAGTCAGACTTATGAATGCAACACAAATAGTGTCTCACAAAGAGTGCATTCAGCCCCCTCAAGGCCAGAATGTGCATGCTCCTCACCCAAGAACTTAACGCACAAGTTGTGTGTGTCCTCAGGTGTCAGTATTGCTGATACAGAGGCACACACTTCCTGAAACGCTGGGCTGGGTCTTTCTCCACAGTTGTCACCTTCACACATACACAAACAAACGGATCCTGAAGACAAAGACATTGATAATGAACACTACAGGCATCCTCTTATACTGGTGGTCACAGCAGTAGTGATGTCACAGACTGTCATCGTCCAATGGCATTGTCGCATTTAAACACGTGCTTCAGACACGGTCATGCTGGAGGAATTCTCCATAGCGTCTTTTCAGACAGTGCGAGTTCCACTTGAAAGGGAACTGATGCTGTTGCCTGGTTTCTCCCAAGGTTTCTTACTCCATTATCCAACATAACATGGAGGTTTTTTTTTTTTGCCACTGTCTGTATGATAGAGTTACCTAGCATTCAGAACAAAGGTGACAGAGTATTAAGGCGTTCAATCAAGTTCTCAGTGGAACTGTTTGGGTTTGAGCGATATGACCAACATCTTATACCATAGGTCTTCAACCCTGCTCCTGGGGACCCACCGTCCTACAAAGTTGATTTCCAGCCTGCTTCAGCACACCTGCTTGAGTATTTTCAAGTGATCCTGTTTAGCTTGATTAGCTGGTTCAGGTGTGTTTGATTAGGGTTGGAGCTGAACTCTGCAGGAAGATTGGTCCCCGGGAGCAGGAGCAGGATTGAAGACCTCTGTCTTAAACCATGATTTGTGTCATTTTATATTATGACAGTGATACGCATCAGTTTATAGTAATTCTGCATTCTGACTGCAACAGGTTTATCACTACAACAAAACACTGAAACCAGAACCACTGAGGATTCTGAAATAAACTATCCTATCTCTCATCTCTAACGTGGACTATGAGGAGACTATAAGTTCGGAGCTGAAGTGATCGATGGCTTCTCTATGTTTGTCAGGTGAGATCGCGCTGTGGTCTCTGGTGGTTTTGGCTGTCGAGCGTTATATTGTGGTGTGTAAGCCGATGACAACGTTTCGTTTCGGAGAGAAGCATGCCATCGTGGGAGTGGGCTTCACCTGGGTCATGGCCCTCACCTGCTGCATGCCGCCCCTGCTGGGCTGGTCCAGGTACTCCATCACAGTCTTCCACAAAAGACAGAGCTTTATCCATTCGTTTGTCAACTAAATTCCCCACAACAGTGAAATGTGAAGCTGGTACAGTGCGCTAATGAACATACTGAGGTCCTGACTAGAGGTTTGTTGGTCATGTGACTGTGTGCAGGTATATTCCAGAGGGAATGCAGTGCTCCTGTGGAATAGATTACTACACTCCCAAACCTGAGATCAACAACACCTCGTTTGTCATCTACATGTTCATCCTGCACTTCTCCATCCCACTGCTCATCATCTTCTTCTGCTACAGTCGCCTTCTCTGCACTGTCCGTGCGGTAAGACACACACAAACATGTATTTCTTTGTTCTGTAGAACACAGAAGATATTGTGAAGACTGTTGGTAACCAAACAGTTTTGGTTAGCACTGACTTACATTGTATGGACAAAAAAATGCATAATTTTCCTTTTTGGGTGAACTATCACTTTAAATGAACGATTCATATGTAACAAACAAGCACAGACTTGGAGTGCTTTTTTAAAGCAGTTGCCACACAAAGGACACGAGATCTACTTCCTGACATGAGGTTAATAGCTGACCTGTATTGGTGTTGTGCAGTGATGAGCAGGTGTTTCACATCATAACCATATCGTTTATTGTTGACACAGCTGGACCACTGGACCAATCAGCATCCAGGACCACAAACACCACATAGATCATTATTTTCTGTCATTTGTTTTCTGTCGTTAGGCCGCTGCTCAGCAGCAG